CTGTGATGAGGAGATTGTGAATAAAGAATGAATATTAGTAGAATTTAAAATAAACATTTGCATTTGAATGTTAGGTGTGCATCAGGGAGCTGTCATCAGTGGCGCGCGAGATGCAGTGATGATGTAAGTGACGTTGTTGCATTTTAATGTTTTGTTAGTCTACTCTAGCCCACGAAGCGCCGCTGCTGTGTTATGCATTCAAAATATTAGAGAACTATTGAAGCTCAATGAGGAGAAGATCTTGAATGGCTTAAAACCGAAACCAAGCCATTCACACAGAACACATATTCAGCGCATGTTTTAGACGGACAAATATGACTGCTGCACTCGCGTCTCACACAAGAGATGTATAGAAAGCCATGCAAAGCTAAAACAGTTTAAACTTTTAGAAAACACGTCACAAATTTATGGAGGTTTATTCCTTTTCACTGCGTCTCATATGTTTTTAAATGCAGTCTGTGTGAATGGCGCTTCGGCTCTTTGGATTAAGCAATGCATAAATACATGATGCTGTTTTGTTCATAATTGTTTATGCAATTTACGAAATTACATTTGATTTTTATGAGTTAATTTAAACGTAATGCACATTTTTATAGAGTTACATCCTTGCGTTGACAATTTAAATACGCTGCATTATTTTGCTCATTGCGCCCTCCTGTGGCCTCGGGAGGCAATTAGACCTATACAATAAAGACCTATTTAATCTGCATATGAAACATTAGAAATTAGATATTTGTTTAATTTTTTATTGTGTTTGATTGTTAAAACAAAAAAGATTTGTTGTTTGTCTCAATAAATTGTATTAATTATAAATACAGTGGTTAAATTGAAACATTTTTTTTCTATTGCTTTTTGTTTTAAAAAAGGTTATAAAAAATGTAAATAATTATCAATACCGAACAATATGAAACATTATATTGTTGATAAATTTTTTAGCTATATCGCCCAGCCCTATATTATATTAGATTATATTATATTATTATAATAAAAGTTAATAAACATTTGTTTGCCATTGCACTAAAGCCAGTCAATTATTGAAATGTCTGGAATATATATACCAGTATATACCATATTGGCCCGAGTATAAGACGGCCCTGATTATAAGACGACGCCCCACTTTGTATCAGATGCACTTAGTAGCGCAGGTTTACGCATGCACTCATTCTGCCATTCCCTGGGTCTGTGCAACGTCTGCCTGAGCCCCAGGTGAAAAGACCTCCACAGTCCCAGCTGTCCTGGTATTGTCGTACAGATGCAATGCTCTCTTATGACACTGATTGAGCACTGCACAGATACCTGTGTCAGAAAAATGATTGGATTTGTTTGTGTATCACATCTGGAGTTATTACTCAAGGGAGAGTTGATTAAATTTACACGTTCCGTCATGCCAGTGGGTTCGGCTCGAGAAGTGCAGACTCCCCGCAAATTAACTAACTTCATGTAGGAACATTTTCTTGCTTCTCTAATGACTGAAAAATTCTATATGTCGCATTGGGAACATCTTGCCTGACCTCATTAGTGTCAACCCCGTTACTATAAATGCCTAACGAGGAACTGTTATATTCAACCGCACTCGGCCGGTTTTCCATGCAGCTGCCTACTTCAGTTTGACCACATATAAATTGCTGTGAACATTTTCAGGCCAGTTGTACCACCCACCTATTTCAATCTGGATGATCCCCGAGCAGCTGTCGCGGCCCTTTCAGGCACACCTGCTGTAATGAGGACTCTGATGAAGGGTTCACAGTGAGCAAGCATGGGTCAGGGGTTGCTATGTGACTTAATTAGGGAGAAGTGAGCTGGGGTTCGCCACAAGTCTAGCAGTGACAGAACATACTAAGCTAATGAGCATAACTCTCACACTCCTGCGATCCTGCTGAGAACCTAAAGCTCTATTGACACACTGTGTCCAGTGTCTGCTTTCCTCAGTAATTGGTAAAAGGGGCTCTGCAGGTGTGACCAGTGTAGTGATCCACAGTTCACAGTCTTAGCGGCAGCAAAGGGAACTGGGTGAGGTGTAAAATATGAAAGGAGGTTTAAAATAAATAAGGGAGCCCAGTGTGAATGGAAACATGTCTTGTAGTGGAGGAGAGCAGAGCTTATCGATTCTCTCCCTCTCCCGCAGTCTGATGTAATTGGATTCAGAGATATATCTAGGGTGAGTGGGCATTCGCTTCGCCCCCTAAATGGGACCCCAATCAATTCAAAAAGCTGCACTGCCATTCAGTCACTAGACGCCCACTAAGACCTGTTTCCTAAATCGATCATCGTGCCACACTTCTAATTCTGCTCACCTGGCAGTACTGCGGCAAGACACTTACCTCCAGGCTGTACCCGTGCTGCAGGGTTCGCTAAAATGGCTGGGTCGTAATTACTGAGGAAGAGAGGGGCAGTCTGATGTGTTTGTGTCAGCTGTTTTTTTGCCACTCGGGTCTCTGAGGGAGGCCTGACGACATGGTGTGAAAAGTGGGAAGGCAACACAACATGTTCATCGCTTTATCGCATTTAAACGGACAAGACAGGAACACTGTGGCATTGTGAAAAGACAAAGATCCAGAATCTATTCACTTGGGTTTTACGTTCCATAAAATCTGGTTTTAACAACACCCTTTATGTTGAGGAAAAAAAAAACATTTAGACCAGGGTTTTTTTAAGTTTTCTTTTTGCCAAGGACTTCAAAGTAGAAAATAAAGATGCTAAAAAATTATAGTAAAAATAAATATAAATAAAAATACACTTAAAAATGCCCCCCCCCCAAAAAAACAAACAAACAAACAAACAAAACAAAAAACAAAGCAAACAAAAAAAAACATGGAGATTTTTTAAAAATTCTTACTGATAAAAATCTGTCAATAATAATTTTCTTTTTGCCTAGGACTTCAAACTAGAAAATCTGTTAAAAAATTATAGTCAAAATATTAATAAAAATATTAATAAAAATACACTTAAAATGCATGAACATTTTTTCATTTGAAGATTTTTTTTATTTTGAAGGTTTAAAAAATTGTCAATCATTTTCTTCAAACTAGAAAATAAATATGTTAAACAAATGATAGTAAATAAATATAAATAAAGAAAAAATGGCCCCCTAAATGGGACCCCAATCAATTCAAAAAGCTGCACTGCCATTCAGTCACTAGACGCCCACTAAGACCCGTTTCCTAAATCGATCATCGTGCCACACTTCTAATTCTGCTCACCTGGCAGTACTGCGGCAAGACACTTACCTCCAGGCTGTACCCGTGCCGCAGGGTTCACTAAAATGGTTGGGTCGTAATTACTGAGGAAGAGAGGGGCAGTCTGATATGTTTGTGTCAGCTGTTTTTTTGCCACTCGGGTCTCTGAGGGAGGCCTGACGACATGGTGTGAAAAGTGGGAAGGCAACACAACATGTTCATCGCTTTATCGCATTTAAACGGACAAGACAGGAACACTGTGGCATTGTGAAAAGACAAAGATCCAGAATCTATTCACTTGGGTTTTACTTTCCATAAAATCTGGTTTTAACAACACCCTTTATGTTGAGGAAAAAAAAACATTTAGACCAGGGTTTTTTTATAATAAAAAAAAATAAAGATGCTAAAAAATTATAGTAAAAATAAATATAAATAAAAATACACTTAAAAATGCCCCCCCCCAAAAAAAACAAACAAACAAACAAACAAACAAACAAAACAAAAAACAAAGCAAACAAAAAAAAACATGGAGATTTTTAAAAAATTCTTACTGATAAAAATCTGTCAATAATAATTTTCTTTTTGCCTAGGACTTCAAACTAGAAAATCTGTTAAAATTATAGTCAAAATATTAATAAAAATATTAATAAAAATACACTTAAAATGCATGAACATTTTTTCATTTGAAGATTTTTTTTATTTTGAAGGTTTAAAAAATTGTCAATCATTTTCTTCAAACTAGAAAATAAATATGTTAAACAAATTATAGTAAATAAATATAAATAAAGAAAAAATTATAGTAAATAAATATAAATAAAAACACTTAAGATTTTTTTTATTTTTACTGATAAAAATTAGTGTCAATCATCATCATCATAATTTCCATCTTTAGAATAATAAATAAAATAGTATATTATGAGTTATGGCAAATGTAACCAAACAGAAAAGTTAACATGTTAACTTTCACAACCTAAAAAATGTTTCATTAAAAAAAAAAAAAATCCGAAATTTTCTGTGGATTCACTAGCACCACCTTGTGGACCCCTGGGGTCAACTTGTTGAAATTCCCCTAAAATATGAGCTTTATTTTCCTGTTGTTCAGTCTTCTGGAACACTGGCCCGGTTTACTTCTGCTCTGTAACCAAAAAAAAGAAGCTGAGGAACCAGTCAGAAATAATTTCTGTGGTAATCTACATAATGCCACAAATGATATCAAAAACCTTGTGTTGAACCCATAATGTTTCCTTAGATTGGTCTCTTCTGTTTTACATCTACATGCTCTCTCTTTCTATTTCTTTGAAGATGGAGACAAAAGAAAGAATAGTAGTGATTCATGTAGATTTCATTGGATGCTAATAATAACTCGGGCAGATTTTTCATCTTCACTTAATGTGACGTCTGATTTAGGTCAGTCATTAGTCTTCAGATGGCTCATTAATTCCTCTTTTTGTCTGCTTGCATGTTGAAAATGACCTTCATATGTTATTTTGATCTTTTAGGTATAGAATGAACATCATTAGGATGAAAAGTTATTTTCGTGCCTACTGCAGCAGATAAGATTTGTGTCACCTGACTGCTCTATTTCTGAACCTGATGAGGTTTCTGCTTCCTCTAGGTACATGATGAACGTGACTTGGGATGGCAGAGATTTGTCCTTCACCGAGGACGGTTACCAGGTGCATCCCAAACTGGTTGTGATCGTGCTGAACAAGGACAGAGAGTGGGAAAAGGTAAGGACGCTCCGTGCCGCCGCCGAAAACAACTGACCTTCTTAACTGCGCCATTATAATTTCATTATAACTCCTCCAAGCAAAGCGTCATTAACAAATGTTCACACAATATTAGTACCCATGAATCCGCCATCTTAATTACACCCTGGAACGGTGTAAAAGTGTGTCAGTGCTGTAATTACCTCAGACGTGCGCTGCCAGAGTCTGCAAATTCGGAGGTGTAATTAGGGCATGTTTTTTTCCTTCTAGAACGCAATCCAGTCCGAGACCAAACATGAACGGGAACACACACGTGTGCATTAGTGCAGGTTTCTTGGATGAGTGTGTCCCTCTTTTTTCTGTTTTAGTAGAGAATGCGGTTCAATGAAACCAGAGCGGGAGGAATAATTGGAACGGCAAAACAATGGGAGAAATTGATTTGTGGAGTTCGCTCCGCAAATCAATCAATATCGGTGGGAGTCTAATTGACAGAATAAGGCTCGCACTGAGAGACGGATTCGGTTATGAATAAACGTCCATGCGGCAAACGACAGATTTGCTTGGATCAGGCCTTTTGATCTCTTGTTGGGAGAGCGTGACGATCATTCAATAGTATTAAAACATCTTGTGTTATTTGGAGGGGAATCCGCATACTGGTGGTCTGTCTTAATATAACATCGTATGGCTCATTAAACGACTGTTGTTTTGCAGATATGATATTGGGTTTGTATTACAGTAGGATAAAACACACTAAATTAGATCCCAGAGGTGTTTAGGACCTCGTTATTCATCTGATGTTAAAGTGTTCTATTGGGCTCTATTACAGCAGCTCTGTATTATTTTTCATGCTGTTTCAACTGTCCATTAAACTTTTGGAGTTTCATCAATCTGTTATAAAATCAGCTCATTTGGGACTAGATACTAGGGATGCACCGATACCACTTTTTCCAGTACTCGCCCGATACCGATACTTTTATTTTTGGTACTTGTCGATACCGAGTACCGATACCAATATTTTTATTGTATTTGTAAAAAAATGTAAATATTGGGTACAGAAACCAAAAGAGTATGTATAATGTTAGTTGGTTAACTTAATTTATCAAATAGATAGAGTCAAGCCAAAATTTATTCTGACACCTTCAACATTTCTCACATTATCACAGTTTATTCGCTATAGTTTAGAAAATGGTAATAAAATATGACAAGAACTCAGAGTTAAACTGTGTCAGAACAAATTCAGCTTGATAATGTCAGATAACTTTGATAGAAAGGTATGTAATGGATTACAATAAACCAAAAATTAGACAGCTGTTAGTATGACAGTATTTACACAACTATCAACACTTAGTCAGGCAGCCCTTAGCCTCAATGACAGCCTGTAGTCTCCTGGGCATGCTGTCATCCAGCTTCATGCAAACCTCAGCTTCAATGTTTTTTGTCTGAATAATTTTTGGTCCCAAATTTGTATCAATTTAACTGGTAGTCCACTGTATGAAGAATATTTGGGTATGATTTGTCACAGTTTACTTTATTTTGCTATCCTCACTT